ACAATCTTTCACGTGCACGCGAACTTTTGACTTAGTCATGTTTAAAAAAAGACACAATTCTTGGCAAAGTCTTCGTTTCATGCTAGCGACGTACCTAATGATCAATCTTGGCACAAGTGATAATCACTTGTTATCGGAAACGTTTTTTTTTTTTTTTGGCAAATTGTTCTCTTTTAACAGCAGGAAATTCCTACTTCATACACACGATTGTTTTATTTTATCTCTGACCCTTTTTACTTTAATACTCGTCATCAAAATATTTCCAGCACACCTTTGTGTAAAATAAACATTTCTCTGTCATGTTGAGAGGGCGCAATTTTTTTTTTCTGTGTAATAATTTCAGCTCCAAAGTAATTGGTTCATCAAAATAAAATGGGAAGGAACAATTGATTTCTCCAGGGGTTCATCTTAAAATGCAAGATGTGAATTGCAATTGTTTCGTAAGAACAGAGTTCTTCGCTTAGTTTGGAAGTTCACCGAGGCTAACTGACTTTTCCTTCCTCTTCGTTGTCTTCCCAGTTTTATTTTTCTTTTTAATTATTGTCATATATTTAACGATCTCTAAATCACCCTGCACCCCTGAAAGAGACTTACCATAATTTCGATAGAGTTTGTTAGCATCTAATCACTCGCTCCAGAAGAAAATTACTGTAGATGCAGTAAGGCAACTCGAACATTATGCGTGCGTTTCGGACGGTCGCCAAAATTTAGCATCTTCGAGGGTAACTGTGAACATGATAATTTTGGCGGTTACGGATTTTCCTTAATCGGCAAACAATAAGCTCCCACAGAAATAAAATATAGCTAGATAAAACGCTGCATGAGTTTATGACCTTCGGTTCAAAAAACAGGGAGATATCGATCCTGCAAAGCACAAAGAGATATCACCATTCCGATAAGTAAAACTGTAGTATCTTACATCGAATAGTATGGAAAATCAATGTTTAATCAAAAAAGTCAGATTTTTTTCATCAAACAGTGATTTTCTCTCTCATATAAGAAGAAAACATTTCCTCGAAAGAGGCAAAAACGTTTTAGACTTTCAAGGTGTCTAGTAAGAATTTTAATCATTCATTTATTGTAATTTTTTTGTGGAATGTCTTGCGTGTCCGAGATACGTAAAAGCTCTCATGTTTCCATTATTGTAATTAAGTTGTTTTGATATTCCCCCTTAGTGCAAATCTGATCAGATCACAGTTTCAATGATAAATCTTTTGTCTGCATTCCCAGGTTGCCTCAGCACGCATGGTAAACATATAAAAGAGACATATTTCGGAAATGGCCTCTTTTAAAACAATAAGTCCCGCAGATAAAACCATTACTCGCACGCTGGTTTATTTCATTTTGTTTTCAATTACTCACAGTGTGTGTTCCATTGTAGGTTGTTGACTTTGGATGAAATGAGCTTTCGTTAATAGTTTTATCTGACCTGATTAAACACGAACGGAACTTCCACTGATCGATTAAGACGATTTTGTTCACAGCAAAACTACTTTCTTTAACAGTTTGATTTTCTTCTCGTTTCTTCCATGCACTCAACATTTAAGATGTAGCTTTATTATTCATTCGTTTTATTTATTTTTTGAATTTGTGGAGGCAGTTTATTTTAAGTCATTGAATTTGAGCCCTATATGTACCCTGAATCATTCTTTCACCATACACGGAATAGGGATTTATTTCTTCAAGGCAAAACTTAACAAGATGAAACTGCAAAGGAAAATTTCCTTGATTGCTGATGTATCAGTTTCTTCCAACTTCACTTCACTCAGCGAATGGTATACAATGTACAAAATTGTCTATCACTGTTAGGGTTTAACTGCTTTATGACTGATGAACGTTTTCAAACTTTATCATGTAAGATGAAACTTTTCATTGATTTGGCTCACTGACAACTTTCTGCCACAAAACTAGAATTAAAGATTATGTGGTTCTGATGTTCTTTTTTAAGGAATAGGATAAATATCCTAAAGTGTTCTCTCTATTCTGCAAGTGTGTTCGATGAGTTTTAAGGGGGAATAATAACAAGCACTCGAAATAACCGCAGTTTGCGGTAAAATTATTACAAGACACAACTTTCTTGTAATTGTCGTGTTTTGGAGATGATTAGCTCCTCTTTCAGTAGTAATACGAGTAAGAAAGCTTAAGCAGATCACTGGTTTGGAAAAAGAAAATACGATCGATATCCCGTGTAGTGGTTTAGACGTAAATAAGGGAAACTGGGACAAGCATGTTTGGTCTGACCTTTTCCCACCCTTGAGGTGGTTTACATGTATTTACATCTAGTTCACACTGGCGTTTGGTTATGTTTAACACTTTGTCGTTTCTCCCTTTGACTATTTTGGTTTTGTTATACGTTACTCAATTATAACCTGCTGTATGCTATGTTTCACACCTGTGTCATCTTTCAGGTCCCGTGCGAATGTTTTCCATGACACCTCATCCCCACGAGGACGAAGAAGGAAATGTGTATAACGTTGCTGTTTCTCTGAAAAATGGAACTCGCTACAATATAACACAAATACCACCACGACCCACCACCCCTGGAGACACTGCGCCACACCCACTACAGGGGGTAAATGTTTTGTCCACTTTCACCCCAAAAAATCGGCTCTGCTACTACCACAGTTTTGCCATGACTCCTAACTACTTCGTGTTTATCGAAAACCCGTTCGTTGTGAATGTGTGGGCACTCCTGACGATGAAGATGAGAGGAAGATCTTTCCACGAGTGCATGAAGTGGGACAACAAGCAGCCCTCCAGGTTTTATGTCATTGATCGTAAGACAGGTAAAGTAGTGGCTCAGTACAAGACGGAGAACTTCTTCTCGTTCCATCACGTAAACGCCTTCGAGACAGAAACGGATATCATAATGGACGTTTGCTGCTACCCTGACGCCCGCATTGTATATCAGTACTACCTCCATCACTTGCGCTCTAAGGGGGAACACGAAGTGAGCAAAGGCTTCCCTGATCCAGCTCTCCGTCGCTATCGCTTACCCATTCCTAAAACCGCCTCATCCAGTTCCTGGCAGAGACTGCCCAGTTACTCAGACGGTCGAGACTACAAAGTGCTGTACTACGGGGTGGAGTTACCCCAGATTAATTATCGCTTCGCCAACGGCAAGCCTTACCGGTTTATGTATGGAGTAGGTCCTCACCAACGCGGGGACTTCCTAAACCAGCTCATCAAAGTAGATGTCCTAGGGAAGGAAGCCAAAATTTGGCATGAGCGCCACTGTTTCCCATCTGAGCCTGTGTTTGTACCAGCGCCCGGAGCTGAATCAGAAGATGAAGGAGTTATTATCTCCTCTGTAGTAGGTGTTCGTGGCAAGAAGTCGTTCCTTCTCGTTCTGGATGGTCGCACATTCCGCGAAATCGCACGCGCGACCGTACCTTGCCCAATGGCACACTCACTCCATGGCATGTTCAGACCAAGGTCCCCAGCTCTACTCGGACAATGCCGGAAAGCCTGGGCCGAAATATAATCTGGGTCACCGAAAAAGGACAAGCTCTGAAGATTTTGGAGTGCCATATGATCGTACACCATCCATTTACAGTGTTGTTCAAAACAAAGAACTCACCACACAAATGAAGTCAACAAAAAAACTCTTGTTGAGACAGTTCCTCGAACAAAAATGTGATTACTGTATTTCAATTTATGGAAAATAGTTCACGACAACATGGAAAAAAAAATTTTTTTCGGCCAAACAACCGGTCAGTTCGATATTAATAGATAACTAAGAACGAGAATCATTCTATGTTCTTTCGTTATTTTTTCAAACAAAATTCCTGGTTGAACGAGTTACTCTGAGTGTGTGTGACATCTTTGATTGGTTATTCGCTTTCGTTTCGTAATGGAACATTGCACTTTTAAGAGGGTTTCTCAGATTTTCATGAGAAAATTAGTGAGGCTCTCTGTTTTCAGTTAGGCCTGGAAGCGTGCATCTTCCTGCCAATGTCTTTAGCGATACGTTAATAAATCTGTTATAAAAAATTGGGAAAAACAAAATAATATAAAAGGGAAAAAGAGAAAAGAGTTATTTCTTTTCTAAGCATTATCCAGTGTGTAAGTTTTATTTAAAACGGCGTACGTAACAATGCGCTGTTGAGTATTATTTTAACTATTTCTAAGTTATATAAAGTAGCATTTGTATACAATCATAGTGACATTATACTTTCTTAGAAAGGAGAAAGATACTGGGAGATAACTAATAATTTTTAAAAAGATATTAATCAAAAGTTTTGGAAATCATGAACATAGTATTAACTGATCTGGAGAAGTGACTGTTTTTTCACAATAACTGAATTTTTGTAACTAAATTTTGTAAATGTCGAGTTTAATTCCAGCTTGAACATTTTTGCCTGATAAGGATGTATGTACTTTGAAATGAATAAATGTATTTTCAGTTCAGTGCTTTTTATCCTTTCCAGCCATTTTTTTTTGCGTTAATTATTGGGTTCTCCACATTATTAGATTCGTACCTTTCTCTTACTTTTGTAAGACCTTCCGTGGCCGAGCGGTCTATATTTGGCCTGGGTACGAGATTACTGCATTGCTTGATTCATGTGTCTTCTGTATCATTCATATATTCATTCCCTCATTCATTCATTACTTTATTCATTTATACATTCATTCAATCAATCAGTCAGTGAGGTATCTCTACCACTACCCTCCCCCCTTCCCCCCCTTCCTCTATGGACCTCAGGAAGCAAGAAGAAGGAAGAACCTGCTAACGAGGTTGTTATTCATTTATATTATTTCTGTACTTCTTTCACTCGTTTTTTCATATTTTTCTAAAATGGCATTTTTTATAGCTTCATGTAATCGACACTTTAACTGTCGCAGAAGGAGATCAATTCCACCTATCCTATAAATGCGCCTTTTCCTGTAGTGTCAGCTTTGCGATTCAACTGGTCGGTGATCGCGTGACAGGAAAAGCTCTAAATACTGCGGAGGGATTGGGTCGGGACATCGTGACTACCACATTATTACAAACAGTCTCGACGCGTGCTCTAGAGTCTTCCAATAGATATTGATGTTGGGAATAAATTTCATTTCTACATGAAAGTCTAAGCATTGGACATTATTTTGGAGGAGCTTTAAAACCAAAGACACAGATCGTTTACTTACGTCGTTCTTCTTCCCCAAAGTCACGCAATCCACGGAATCACTCGAAAGAAGGTTAGCATGTCTCCTCACAAAAAGTAGTTCTGTTAAATGTATACAAATAATGGTAAATAAATCTTATATGCTTCATTATCTATTGCAGCAAAACCTGCACAGAAAAAATTCAACTTAGAGGAATGAAGCTATTGTTTCACGCGCGAACAAATTTGCAAATAGATAACTTATTTATGCGTAGCAGCTGCCAACTCGTGCGAGATATATTTCGGGAAATTAAGTCCATAGACCATAGACTTTTATAACACGAAATGCGAACATGAAAAGGTGTTTTCGTTGGATGATATCGTAGCATTTTATTTAAAACAACAGTGTGAGGCCAATGTATGGTAAAACTATTTAAATGAATATTTTGGGGTGATATTAAAATTTCATGTAATTCCCATTTAATCTGCATATAAGTAAAAGGTCAAAGTTCTTTGTGAGTTTTCGTGACAGATTATCTAGACAGCGATCGATTATCTGCTGAAAGGAAAGAAAAAGAGTGCGCTGGCTAGCTCAGAATTAATTTCTAGGCCACAAACCTGTTATTCTACATTTTGTTCGGTTAAATCTCTCAGCTTAATGGTAGGCACGGTCTTGCTTACTCGTAATATCAGTTAAGATTTAATCCTTTTATTGTTTCCAGAATCTTTCATTGTTTCTCGCCAAATGTTCTTAACGTTCTTGCGAAATGAAAATTAAACTCTCTTTACTTCTTGCGTGTTAAAACTTGCGAAAGATTTGCATACGATGAGTACGATGCGAGTCAGCTTGACAAGGAAGTGTTTCCTAAACCTCGTGTTTTGTGTTCGTACTAGTGGTTACAGATCCTTCCGGGTTTTTCATCCATCAAACTTGGCTCCTAACTTACAGACAGAACCGACCTTTGTGAGAGGTATGTAGCTGCTAAATAAACATGTATCTGACATATTCTCGCCAAAGGCGAAGCCAGATGGTATTCCTAGTTTTAACAACTCCAAGGCAAGGAAAGCGATTTAAAAAGAGTTAACTGCGCGCTACGGCGTTTTCAGGCAATTGTAAGCCAGATCGTTCAAAGGTTCAGAAATTGGAAATTTTGTTTAAATTGGCGAAATTTTAAATGATGTCTTAGTAAATGAGATGTCATGGGTCAAAAGATTTACTTAAGAGATGATACTCAGTGGAATTATGTATGTTGTTCGTGTTTCCTTCTATTTTTGCTTTGGATAATAACGAAAATTTGGAACTGAGTAAAGTGGGTCGACGCTTAAAATCGAACGGTGCTCAAATTTAGCCAATGTTCAACTTTAAAGGTAGGCCTCGCTTTAATTGAATTTGAAATAGGTTTGCGGCGAAAATGGACCGGATATGAAAGGAAAGCTCACAGAAACAGAAAAATTCCCAAACCGACACCAGCTGTCAGTAAGTAAAAGTAACAGTAATATAAAATCAAGACTTTCATTGTGCTGCACAGACAGCGCAGAATATTTTAATAAAATTCTGCGTGAATTGTCTCTTTTTGACACAGAAGTTCCGGCCAGTATTTGTTTATTAACTTAAAGAGACGTCACAGCAGTTAAAGCGATTCGTTTGAGCTGCTGCTCAGGTTTGAATGCAGTAGAGCAGAGAAAACCGATGGGATCAGTTTTTCTGTAATCGTCTATCATGTGAGTACGCTTTTGCTAGTGCTTCAGAACGACCAGAGAAGTGTAGTGAGAGACGAGCCTGCGAGAAAAACCAGCGGGTCGATAGGGCATTGTTTGTCAGTAGGCAGCTTCGAACGGCGATTCATCTTTAACGGGTTTGATACCCTTGGAATCGACCCGTCAATCAAAAGTTGCTAAAAAATTTTTCATCGTAAAAGGAAAACGTATCTCGAAAGGAATTGCATAAAAAGAAATGATACGAATCGGAGAATGGCCAAGGATTGAAGAGTGAAAAGTTTTTATTTAGACAAGTGCTCTTTCAAGTAATTATTTCTTTGAAATTTCTTGTTTGTTTAATGGAATCAACTTCATGATGTTTTTCTTGTGCCAATGATTCTCACTCTGTTAAATGAATCTGTTTTCGAAAAAAAACCATTTCTATCCAGCTGCATTTGAATTTGGCTTTTTTTAAGATTGTGCATTAATTTTTTTCGCACCTGCTATCACGCAAGATTCTGCCTTTAATAACATCCTAACACCATCATTTTGAACGATCGTAAAGTATGTACAAAAGCATCATGAGTTTCCTCGAATGCTTAATCACAATATTTGTTAAAAAGGGTGCAGAGAAGCTTTAAGTACACAAGTAGGTCCATGATGCAAAGGTTTCAAGTATTACATATTGAAAGGCGGTAAAAAACGCAGGCTACTTTGACTAAGCAAGTCGCAGAATAATTGCTTATGCCAAAAGCGCAAAACAGAGTTAATATTTGTTTTTTACTCTAGCAGTTTTCCGTCTCGAAATCGCTTGAAACACGATTTAAATTGAACGTTAATGTTTCCCCCACTGTTTCAAGTTTCTAATCCTTTAGAGTAAATGGGCGAAATCTGCATAGGAGACAAAAGGATGAGAAGATCAATGAAGGCGATCCCTGTTTTGTCGGATGACTTGAAGGACGAGAACTGTTGTTGTACGGCTGCTCCTGCCGCCGGGATACCAGGCGTTCATAGGTTACCCTCGACATTTTGTCAAGTGTTTCCTTGATATTTTTCTGATACCCACCGATTCTTCTTAGTAGAAAAGGACGATGTGTCTTGCCCAAGAACACAACACTGTCGTTACCATGACGGTTTTCGGAAGTAATACTTGAAGAAGGTTTGACAGATGTTAAAGGTGCACTCTGATGCCAATAAAACCAAAAATAATTTACGTGTAATAATATAAAAAAGAAACGTTGGCCATCGGGCAACGATTTAAATCAATCATTAAGAAAGAGTAAGAAAACTCATACCAAACTGGCCAGCTCTTGGCGTTTTAGCCTCTCAAGTTACTCAATATTTCACAACTGTTGTAAAATCGCCCACAACCGAAAATTCCAGGTTTGTAAACGTTTAAGTGCGTGGGCAATTTTTTTTCAATATAAACAAAATTTAGCTTCAATTAAGGAACTCAAAATTTAAATCGATGAGGAGCGCAAAGGGCAAATTACGGTGATGGAAAGACTTGAATTACTTGCAGTAATCTCCCTATATGAGCTTGACTATACCGCCACACAAGCAAAATATGACATTTCGAATAGAATTTGAATGAAATATATTTGCCTTAGGGATCTTTATTTGAAAGGAGAGATATTTTTGTTATTCAATTTGATACGGTTTGATTTTACATACATTTAACAGGTTTGTTTACAGTTATCTCGTATCTTAAAAGGATATTTTCTTATCCGAACAAAACGGTCGAAAGTGCAGACAGTGAAAGGTCAAAATCTTTCTCTGATTTTGTTAATGAAACCTTCGCTGCATCGCCGATTAAAATTGCTGGTATATCACAAACGATCGGCGATATCTCAGAGTTTTTCCTGAAAACTCGATTTATATGATATTCCTCTAGCTTGATTTAGAAATTTAATTTACAGCTTGTCGGATGTCTTTGATGAAATTTGGTATAATTTATCATCAAAAGAATCGTAGGGATTCATTTGCATCCATCCTCTTCTTTTCGATGGAATAAAGAGCACTTAACTGAACATAAGGTTTCTTGCTATTGGCTGTATCTGAGGAAACGATCTCTACACTTGTTTTCAGCGACGTGAAAAATCATTGAAATGTCTTTTCGGCTCAAGGAGAAGGTTGTACCTGTTTGTAATTTTCATAGTTTGACTCCTCAGTGGAGAAAGCCTTTTCTGAAATTTTTCAAATGTTTTTGCTTGAAGGTGTAGTTGTAAACACATGCCGGACACATAACAAACCAGGTTACATCATATATCAGGGTGGAGCGATAACTCAGGATCTGTAAACTACGAATTTACATACAGATTAGCGAACAGCTTTTCACCTGCTTTTTGATATCCACCGACGACAATACACACAAAGCATCACAAAGAAGAAATTTAGAAAGTATATTTTGATTCCACCTTTCAGTGTTTCCTCTGGCAGCTTAAGTGCACTATAAATCACATTGTCTCATTTTGTCTTCTGTTTTCAGAACCACCAGTTGTTGAAATCACCTCAGAGAGTTCTTCAGGTCCGCGAAGGTCGCGACGATTTTTACAGCTCTGTTTAAAACCACAAGACACCAGATGCCAATGATGGATCACTATCAACAATATGGTGTTACCACAGCATTCGTTAGCCCTTTGTATATCCTCACCATGATTGCGGGATCCCTCGGCAATGGCTTGATAATCTATTCTTATGTGACCGACAACTCCATTCGAAAAACGTTTTACTTCCTCATCACCAACTTGGCGATCGCCGATCTGTTGATTTCCCTCCTTTTTACCCCGATGTTGTTCATCTATCGGGTGTACGCCAAGGCTGAGCTTATAGCATACACACCGGTTTGCGAAATCAGCCTGTTTCTCTCCATGTTCAGCATTTCCTTGATGTATTTTGTTTTCCCATTGTTGGCTTACCATCGAAAAGATGTCATGTTGCGACCACAAAGTCCCAGGCTCTCTCTGGTGCAAGCACGCCTGATGGTGTCCATATTCTGGATCCTGTGCATCTCGTCCGCTGTTTTTATGGTCCTCATGGCCCGAAATGAGTTCACGAATGGCGACCCGACACCAAAGCTTTACCGCTGCTTGCTGATTAACCAGCGTCTGGATACATATGCGCAGGTGTTCCTCGGGTACTCGGCGACCCTGTACGGCCTGTCTATTGCCTTTACAGCCATGATCTACCTGCAGATATTTTTCACCCTGCGAACCCATCTTGAAGGAGTGAATGGATCGGCGGACGAGCGACATACAACCAAGTTGTGCTTCTGGATAGCAATCGTGTACACTGCTTTCTGGACTCCGTTCCTCCTCGTTCAACTTGCCGGAATCTTTGGTACCTACACAGAGCTTTATTTCAACCTTCACGGCTGTTCATCTGCTATTGGGGTCATTGGGTCAGCGGTGAATCCATTGCTGTATGCTGTCATGAATCCATATTATAAGACCAGGATGTGCGACTTGTTCAAGCGACTGACTTGCCGCGGTTAGTAGAACCATCATTCGAGGACTCGGCACCTGTGTTAACGTTAGGTAATGAGAGATTTTCAGTTGAACACTATAGGACAAACGCCGAAGTAATCGCATATGCAAATGTCGAGAAAAATAAGCCATCTGTAAGCAATGAAAAATAAGGGTGGAAAACGACCTGTAAAAATGTGGCATAGCCGCAGATGGCTTTCATTTCGCTTCTGATTTGTCGTTGCGAGGTTAGCGCGAGATTTTTAAACCAATCAAAGAGCGAGGATGAACAACGCCAATGTAATCCCGAATTACTTTTAGCTCTCAATTGCAAATTGCTCTATACAGGAGATGATTATGAATCAAAATACAACAACTTTAGACTACTGTAAACATGAAAATTGAAAATCGCTTCATTAAGTTTAAACTCTGTTAAAAAAAAAAAAAGACAAGTTTTTTTAAAGAAGTAACCCTACAACTCTCAGAAGTGATTAACAAGTAACTTCTCCCTACAATGTCAATGCAATATCCAGCAAACAGGTAATGGGAATACTCAGACTTGTCAGGTAGAAGTTAGAATCTTGATTTTAACTGCAAATTCTCATTACTAATTTACAAGTAAATGTGTAGCAACCAGACTGAAGGAAAAAATGAATCAATCTTGAGAGTTAAAGGTTTTAATATATTTTTTTTCTATACTTGCTTGTTTCAGTCTAAAATGTTTTGAACTCCAGTTAGTATTTGCTAAAAGCTGTGTCTTTTTTGTTGTTTTTTTTTTCTCCAAAACCCTCTGATACTGATATGTTGATTAATTCCCTGAGTTATTTACAAATAGGGTGGCCTTTCGTCGCCGGTTATAGCTGCATGGTATAAAAAAATTTAACAACAATAACTAAAGAAGTAAACAAGCTCAGTAACTTAAAGTTAATGTGCTAATTGTATCATTTGCAGAAACGGCCCCGACCATGACAGAAGAAATCTAGAAACTAAAAATTTTTGTTCAGCAAGTAAGGAATGAGTTATAAGTATACATTTACTATCTTTGCCGAGACAGCTTGGTATACAGTAGAAAAATACAGTTTAAGCTTTTAAGTCATTTTTAGAGGACATGGTTGATGCTTCAGATGCTAAGTCATTGTCATATGTAAAACATGTAAATTGATGTGATTTGATGTGGTAGTTTTGTCGAAGGTACGTAGTATTGGAGTAAATAAGGTGTTTGTTGATGACCAAATAAACAATGTTAACAGAGAGACTGAGAGGCTAAATAAACAATCTTGGGAGGCCGAGGTGGTCGTAACCCCCCAACCCCTCTTCCCTTCTTTCTTCAGGAGTTATATTCTCTTTGTCTTTCACATTGTAGAACAATATTTTCACTAACCTGTGTAAGGCAATCAGTCCATAGAAATAAGTGAAAAAGGGAGAGAAGCGGGGGAGGGTAAGAGGAAGGACTTTCCCATCCCCAGCCCTATGGTCCGTTGTAGTCACTTTCCAGATTCCCGCCAATTTTCTCTCGCCCGCTTTTTCTGCTCATCTCCTCTGACTGAGAGCCAGTTATGAGCGATATTCCGATCCCCTTTACCCGCCTAGGTCTAGTCTCCTGACCCATTCCTCGGTAATATTTCACAGCGATTGGAGTGAAAATTCAGCGGATTTCTGCAGATGCGGAAGCTAAGGCAATAAAATGAGTGATCTTTCTCTACCAACTGGAGAAGGTCCAAAGACAGCCGTGACAAGGATTCGCTCTTTGTGATGTTGACAGAGGGCAAGGCCGCGCGCGATCTCTCGCACTATTCGCGCCCGCACGCAAGCAAAGAAACAAACAGCGGCTTAACACTCTGAGCAGCCGCTTACAATAGTATGAGGTTGGCTTTCAAAATGGCGGCTGTTAGTGTTCGCTCCTTGCTGAGGTTGGGCGCTATTGCAGGTCCAAGGGTACTTCTGAAAAGTATGTATTCTCGTCAACCTGTTTTAACAGTGATATTCTGATCTATTTTAGCCCTCAGTGGTGTTTTTTCTCGTGTCGTCTCGTTTGTGTTACAAAAATATTTCGCTGACTTGTTTTTGTCACCCGGGACATAAGCCCGAATGAAACAGTGTTAGTATTTATATAATCATCTGTGCGTGATTCCAAGCCGTTAATTTGGTGGATGAATTCTAGAAAGGGATTTTACACGTTTATGAATGTAAACAGATTGGTTTGAATTCGATACAGATTTATTCACACAATTTTAATTTGTCTCTTATTATGCAATTTTCCAAGATCAATACAAATGCTGCAAGCCCTCTGTCGCTGCTGCTATTTTCACACAGCAGTCACGGAAACTCTCCAGTGAAGTGGCATTGAAAGGTAGGAAAATGTACATTTATTGTGTTTAGGCCTTGGTCAGATGCCATATCTCACTTGGTTTGGATGAACTCTAACGTTATCAACCCTAATTAATTAAACTGGCTGATTTGATTCATCACCAATTTTAATAAAGAGTTTAACTCCACAGTAAGTTTGATGCAACCTCTGTGGATTATAGTTTCACAACTGAGTATATGAAATTATAGCCAATTTAAGTACAGTTAGTGCAAATGCTTCACTTATTAGCAACAACTGTTTGGGTTTTGCATTTGTAAAAGGGCTGCAGTAGTTGGTTACAATGAGATTGGTCCCTGCTCTATAATTCTTGTCAGCAAAAGTGTTTTTAATTGGCTGAATTGTACAAATCATGCTCTACTGGTGATCAACTTTTGATATTTAGAACATGTTGAATGATTGACAATTGTTAAGCAAGTGGGGAGATATTAACCTAACTGCTTCATGCTTCTGCAATACTGAGGCACAAAGCAGTTAGGTCAATATCTACCACTTTCTCTGACACTGAGATGAATAATTGCTTTGGTGTATATCTCATAAAAACCCAACAAATTTGTTCATTTTAGTCAATATACCTAAAAATGGTCAGAAAAATTAAATTATTGATTCATGATGTCGTCTCTTCAGCAGCTCAGAGTTGAATAGTTCTTGCTAATCACTTCCAAACCAGCCAATCAGTGCTGGCAAAGAGCACTATCAACCTGCGTGGTATATATTGATGAAGATTATAAAATATCTTCTTTGCATCCAGGGTGTCTATTAATGCATTAAAAAGTAAGGATCACAAAAACAAGGAGATTAGTAGTTCAAAGGGAATTATGCTGATAATAGTGTTAACAGTAATGTGCTACATAATTTGGCATAGCAGCAAGCACAAAATTGCAGTCTTAGACTGCCAATATCTGTTTAGATTTTTTATTACACTAAATTCTTCATTCCCAAATATGTCTGTAATTTTTGACAATTTTTAAATTGTCAACAAAGTGTTGTTAAAACAACACTTTTTTGCACGTGTAGAGAGAGTTCCTTTCAGTAATGTATATTGGCTAAGAAAAGGACAATTTTCAAGGAAGTTGTACTCACTGGATGTTTTCATTTGGAGCTCAGGGACCTGTTTCTTGAAAGTCCTGGGCTCAAAGCTATATTTTCAAATCAAAATTTAAAGTATAGAGAAGCAGGTCTGGGACCCTAACCAGTCCATTTTGTTTCTTTAGCTAATAGTTTTATTGTACAATTTTCAAAACTTTTGAAAACCTTTTATCAATGGAAATTGAACAGCTTTATGGGTCCGTTAACTTACCAGAAACTTCGAGAAACAGGCCTCAGCACATTATATTAAAGCTTTTGATGACTTAAGTTGTTTAATTGCTGTCATCTTGTTCACTGAACAGAAGATGCAACAGTAGCTCAGCTGTCAGAGTTTGGACAATATGTGGCCAGCATTCTGCCTAAGTACATCCAGCAAGTTCAAATGACACAAACCAAAGAACTAGAATTACTCATTGCTCCTGAAGGAATCATCCCTGTTCTGACATTCCTCAAAGACCACACCAATGCACAATACAAGTCTCTTGCCGACCAAACAGTTGTGGATAAATTAGGAAAGCCTTTTAGATTTGAGGTACAATACAAAGTTAACCTTAGAGTTAAGACTTTATGAGCTAGAAGCTTCTTTTTCCATTTTACACAGGTTTACGGAAGTTTAAGTAAGTTACATGTGTATTTAAATTTCATTGTATCTGAGTAAAAAAAATTCAAAGGTACTGTTCCTATTAGTTTCTTTCTTGTCCAGTTTCACACATCTTTCGTAAATCAAGATGTCTAACAAGTAAGCAGCATACATCTTAAACTTAAAGGTGAATGATAACTTCACATGTGAAAACTATAGGAAGTTCCTAGAGTTTTCAGTGTGTTGTGGTGAATGTGGAATTTTTCTGATTTCTCCAATTAGGTCTTATATTTCCACACCCATTAATTTGCACTTGGTCTTTTTTGTGTTTCCATGCATGATTTTTACACCATTACTTTTGCACTTAATGTAAATTACCCCAACCTTTACATATCATGTTTCATGCCCCTTTTAGCAGTGTTTCTTTTTTTTTTTTTTGCCTTCATGTAAACCTTTTTCCTAGGAGTATTCCATATTCCATGTCTTTTATATTCCCTCAGCATTTGGAATTTACTTCTTCTTCACATGCATATTAAAGGTAGTGAAATTGATTGATTGAAGTGGGCCGTTGTGACTTCAAAGTGTATCTTAAAAACAAGCTTAGTTATAATGGATTTCTCATTATAAGAAATCTTTTAAGTTTAATCTCCTTTTTGATCTTGCACAGATTGTGTACAATTTGCTGTCCCTGAGATACAACTCAAGGATCCGTGTCAAAACTTACACTGATGAACTAACGGCAATTGACTCTGCTAACCCTGTGTTTAAGGTGGCAAACTGGTATGAAAGAGAGGTAAGTATAATTACATGAAAGTACTACATCAGCATTGAGCTGATCATTGAGCTAATCCTATAATTTAATAAGGTATACATGGTCTAATACCAGAGCCAAAAGCAGCCATTCTGCATTAATACATTGGATCTGCAAAAAGATATTCTTTTATGAACAAGGACAATTTTAAGTGCAAAGTATTGATGTATCTTGTGAATTGAAACCAAAAGCAAAGTTTTAGGTAGATCTGTTATGTTTTGGTCACAGCAAAATTGGATTTTTTCAAGAGTCTTCCTTTTCTTTCTAAGAATAAAATTTAACACCTTTCTTTATCAGAAGGGTTCCAAACTTGTAATTGCCTTATGTCTTTATGCATAACATTCTTGATGACTTTGAAAAACTTTAGGGCTAAATGTGTATCACAAATGAACATTTAAATTCAGGTTTGGTAGTAGTTTTTGTCTTAAGTGAATCCCAAATGTTTGAGATATTCTAGTAAGGCATCTGTTCATTTGTATCAGCATTGGTAACAGGCTCATCATGAAATTCAGACTTTTACAAACTCTTTTTTATGGCAGATTTGGGACATGTATGGTGTATTCTTTGCTGATCATCCAGACTTACGAAGAATCTTAACAGACTATGGATTTGAAGGACATCCATTTAGAAAGGACTTTCCCTTAACTGGCTATGTGGAGGTAGTGATAGGCTTTATTTATGTACCACATAGGTTCATAATAGTGAGTAATTTTTGACAAGTGTGTGAAAATGTTGAATCAAGGAAATTTAAACCTCGGACTTTTCCAGTTCACAAAACTGGATGCTCCTACAGCAAAGCTAAGATTAATATCATTTGTGACCTACATGCCTTGTACAAGGTTCTAGGTTATTATATCAGAACTGCTATCAAGTTCTTCTTGAGGTTGTGGGTAGACACAGCATACAGCATACAGCATGTGATTGATTGGCTGGATGGGGGGGGGGGGGGGGGGGGGGGGTAAATAGGTCCAAGTTTAAAACCTGGCTGAGTCCTTGTGTTGTGTTTGTGGACAAAACACTACTCTCTCTCTCTCACAGTGCCTCTCTCCACCCTGGAGTATAAATGGGAACTGGCTAATTGTCAGAAAAGCCTGATAAAATGCTGGGGGTAACCTTGTGATGGACAAGCATCCCATCCAGGGGAAGAAGAGGTACTGCTAGTCACCTCATGCTAAGGAAACTGGGATAAGCTCTAGCTGGGTGAGCCACGAGGCTCCAGTACAGACTTTACCTATCCACCCATGTAGGGTTTACATGATATATTTTCTATTTATATTTCAGGTGAGGTATGATGATGAACTTAAGCGTGTTGTTTGTGAACCAGTGGAAATGGCTCAAGAATTCCGCAGGTTTGACTTCCAGACACCTTGGGAAAATTTCCCTGCACACAGGGAAGAGATTGAAGCTG